ATATACAGGGTGTATCCTAAAAAGTGGGAAGTATTGCAATGGGGGATTCAGGACACAAAAATAAGAGAAAAAATTCATATAAACATATGTCCGATATGACCTTTTTTCAAATTATAGCTTGTTTTATTTTCCAATAGAGTTAAGATAGCATACTTGGATATCGGTTTGCTGTTTATGTACAAGATTTAAAGGACTTAAGGTCTTGTTAATTTGTAAGCATAAACGCGTATTATTTGTGTTGTAAGTGATACGGTTCATATCTTATGTTCAGTGAAGGTAAGGTATTCGTATCGTACGTTAGTACTATTAACGATAGAAGTACGTTTAAGTGAAAACTATGGTTTGGTCAAACAATGAAATGGCAGACGTACATTTCATGTATGGATTAGCCCACGGTAATGCAGTCAGAGCTAGACTTTTGTATGCGGAAACGTTTCCGAATCGTCGTCTGCCTGAAAGAAAAATGTTCCAAAGGATAGATGAGCGTCTTCGAAATACGGGTTTATTTCATTATTTGACCAAACCATAGTTTTCACTTAAACGTACTTCTATCTTTAATAGTACTAACGTACGATACGAATACCTTATCTTCACTGAACACAAGATATGAACCGTATCACTTACAACACAAATAATACGCGTTTATGTTTACAAATTAACAAGACCTTAAGTCCTTTAAATCTTGTACATAAACAGCAAACCGATATCCAAGTATGCTGTCTTAACTCTATTGGAAAATAAAACAAGCTATAATTTGAAAACAAAGTCATATCGGACATATGTTTATATGAACTTTTTCTCTTATTTTTGTGTCCTGAATCCCCCATTGCAATACTTCCCACTTTTTAGGATACACCCTGTATATGTAGCATTAATTATTTATTTATCTAATGATTTACTGATATCATATATACATTTGGTAATTATTTACATTAACGGACACCTTGTCGATGACCTTGACCTTGACATATGTTATCAAGGACATGACCCTGAGTAACTTTTCCTTATAACTTAATCGGTCATTGTTTACTAAAAGGTTATAAACAAAAAAAGTTTGAGAAATTTGCCATTTTGGGTCAGTGTTAAAGGAAATAATTTTGCTGATATGTGTGTGTAGGTGTAGACACAGTGCTCGTGTGGGTGGGGAAGGTTTTTTTATTATGTGTTTCAAGGTTGGCCGCTAATCTAAAATATATGCATTACACCTAACTTGAAGGATCAAGATTAGATGTAATGCATATATTTTAGATTGGCGGCCAACCTTGAAACAATAAAAAAACCTTCCCCATCCACACGAGCACTGTGTCTACATACACATATCAGCAAATTCCAGGCAGCCACGTCTGTTCTAACAGATATTGCCAAGTGCTTGCTACAAATTATTGTCAGCAAAAAGGCTACAAATTTGGTACATGAGTTGTTATTACCGATTAAGCTGGCAGATTGCAGGCAAGAACCAAGCAAAGCTTGCTAACATGACTGGCATCAGATTGTCGGCAAAAACTGAGCAAGATCTGGAGTGCGCAGTCTGATGGCAAATTGGCAGCAAAAACCGAACAGAATCTGTAGCTTATTACAAAGTATTATAAAATAGTTCAGTCGCTTATCGCTATGCGGCGCGTAATTCATTATCTATACCCGCCCAGCAAACACAGAATATAACTGCTATATAACATGGGAATAACATGTAATGTAATAGTTGTTATGCCTAATATATATTGGGATTATATAACTGTCTCTTATTTATGCAATATAACACCAGAATATAACTGCTATGTAACATGGGAGCAACATGTAATGTAACATTTGTTATACCTAATTTATATTGGGATTATATAAATGTTTTTTATTTATGCAATATAACACCAGAATATAACTGCTATGTAACTTGGGAGTAATATGTAATGTAACAGCCCAAGTAAACAGAGTAACGTCAAAAGACGACATAATGACGTCTCCCATACAGCATCGCAAGATTGTAACAACATTGCAGCAACATTTTTTTGCAAGATTGCAACATTGCAAAAACATTGCAAAATATTGTTGCAGTATTGTTATGATATTGCAGCAACAATAAAATGTCCGCCTACAGAAATATTGCAATATAATATTATTCATGTTATATAACTGCAATCTTGTATGAGTGGGAAATTACAACTAACGTGAATGTTACATGTAACAAATACGTTATATTACGTTTTATTATGGCAATGTTACAGTTATGTATCTGTGTTTGCTGGGCGTATTCAAATTCTTGTCATGAGTGTATATAAAGCCTGCAAAATACTAATAATATTATTAGGTGTACAAATAAGTTTCCGCCGTTTGACAAAAGTTGGCGCCACCAGTAAGTTATGGTTAAAATTGTCAGATGTAAAACGTCCTTATCGTAAGATTGGACATCAGTCAATAACATAACCTTAAAACATTAGTGATTTTTTATCAGAATAATATATTCTTTTGTGTGCGGAAATGACGAGTTTCGAGCCGAATAAGCGCGCCGGTCAAAACCTATTTGGAAACACTCAATTGGGAAGTTAAGTTTCACCCGCCGTATTCACCAGACATTGCTCCTTTTGATTTCCACATGTTTAGATCGATGGCGCATGGCCTGTCTGAGCAACACTTCACATCATATGAAGATACCAAAAATTGGGTCGATTGGTGGATAGCCTCAAAAGATGAAGCATTCTTCCGACGTGGTATCCGTATGCTGCCAGAAAGATGGGAAAAAGTAGTGGCAAGCGATGGACAATACTTCAAATAAAACATTAGGTTCCGTTCTTTCACAATAAATGCCCAATTTTTGATAAAAAATGTAATATTTTAAAAAACATGATGCAGATACATTTCTGAAATATTTCGGATGCAAAGTTACAATTGAAATATTAATGAAATATTTCTGTACCATTTCCGAACATTACAGTATTTCAGCAATATTACATGCCGAGTGGGTTAGGGTTGCGACTTTAAATCCATTTAAATATACTATTTTATATGAATGGCCAAAAGCTGCAGAATTTGTTCGGTTTTTGCTGACAATCTGCTGTCAGATTGTCTTGCGCAGATCTTGCTCGATTTTTGCCACCAATTTGACGTCAAATCATGTCAAGCTTTGCTCGATTTTTTGCCATCAATTTGCTGTCAGGTTATGTCAGCAAGCTTTGTCACCAAAACACAAGATTAATGCGAACACAGATGGCACTAGATTTGTTACCAAGTTTTGAGCGAATTTGATGCCAATTTGGCAACAATTTATTATCAAATTGCTTACTGGGTTACTTCCTTTAGCACTTACACAAAATGACAAATTTCTCAAACTGTTTTTGTTTATAATAACATATGTCAAGGTCAAGGTCATCAAAGCTGCCTTCCCTATACTGCATACAGCCAATATACTAATTACTTTCTTTAGCATTGACACAAATTGGCAAATTTCTCAAACTTTTTAATAAACAATGACCGCCGATTAAGTTATAAGGAAAAGTTATTCAGGGTCATGTCCTTAACAACATATGTCAAAGTCAAGGTTATCGGTGAGGTGTCCGTTAATGTAAATAATTACCAATAATTACCAAGTCTGACCAATCAGTGCCGATCTTTAGCCGGGCACACGTCGGTGAGCCGCGTGCCATGAAGTGTGCGCTGTCGCATACTACCAGGCGCCAGAGCTGCCAGTTTGTGGGAAATGGGAGCCCCCACCACTTACCACGGTACTTACTAACACAGACGTAGCGGCTACGTCTGTGTTAGTAAGTCCCGTGGTAATTGGTGGGGGCTCCCATTTCCCACAAACTGGCAGCTCTGCCAGGCGCGCGGCTCACCGACGTGCGCCCGGCTAAAGGTCGGCGCTGATTGGCCCGACTTTACTCAATAATAACTCGTTTATTAAGCGTTATAAAAAAAAATGATTCAGAACTCTTCGTCTCAGTTTTTGGTAAGGAATAACGCTATGTACTTAGTGGGCGATCACCCTGTATATATACATTTCTTAATTTATATTTTCCTATAAATCTTATTTTTTGTTCCATTTTTCGGATAAAGTTCCGAAAAAGGTTATGTTATTAACTGATGTCCAATCTTACGATAAGGACGTTTTACATCTGACAATTTTAACCATAACTTACTGGTGGCGCCAACTTTTGTCAAACAGCGGAAATTTATTTGTACACCTAATACTTACCCCCGATTTTTTTGAAACTCAGCATTCTTACGTATTTTGACGCGCTGATTACGAATATCATAGTGAAAATTGGCGACTACTTGATTTTTATGGTAAAAACCATGAAAAATCTATAAAAATAATAGTTTTTTACGTTTATCTCAGTAAATGCGAAAAATCATGATAAATGTTTTCAACAAAAGTTTTAGATCTCACAGAGATAAACATTTGAGGTTCTATACATTTTCACCGTACGAATAATAGTTTTCGAGGAAATGGAGTATAAAGACAGTAACAGCGTTAACACAAAAATCCTAACTTTAGAGTGCTTTTTTAGGGGGGCGGAACCCACGGAAACAGTGGGTGGCTCCACTACCAAAAAACTAGACAAATAGGTTTGCGTGGAACCTCGCTTTGCGTGAAAAGTTGCAGACCCATGTGAAATCGTATATATACTGCAAAGTACATGCTTAGATGGGAGGACAGATATAAGATTTAGAGTCCATCGTTTTTGTCGAAAACTATCACTCGTACGGTAAAAATGAATAGGACATAAAATGTTTATCTCTGTGAGATCTAAAACTATATATATAGATTGTTAGTTGATTGACTGAATAATTTTTGTTATGTTTGATTTTATTATTTACGGGTGTTGTGATGTATGGATTTGTAGTGAGACAATGCAAAGTAGAAGGTGGTATGACACCGGAAATAGATGGAGAAATATCTCTAAAGGCACCTAGCCAATGGAAGCCTTTGTTATTGTTAATCCCGTTGCGCCTTGGACTTAGTGAGATTAATCCTATATACATTAATGGACTTAAGGTAACATAAAAATTGTTATGCATTGAACATTGAATTTAATCGTTAATACTTTATACAATAAGATGCATAAAAATATTTTATTATAACATATTACTAATGCATATATTTAATTTAAAATGTATCTTGTAGATTTATAGAAACATTTTTTCAGACATCATTCAAGATTACACAATCCTTGGGAGTGATTGGAGGAAAACCCAATCTTGCTTTATATTTTATAGGCTGTGTGGGTTTGTATACTTTAATAAATATAATAACAATTTAAGTTTATACAGAACACATGTAGCGTCCTAAAAATATAAAAAAAGAAGAATCAATAGTAAGAATAATAGTAATATACTAAGAAATATAATAATAAAAACAGTAGTAAGAATCAATTATTTTACAAAATTAAAGCTTTTTTATTAATGGAAATTTAAAACTAAGGTTGTTTTTAATCTTGTAATTCTTCTATTTTTTGCTCTTCAATAACTATATAATAAAATTTTTATATTTGTATCAAATCATTGCATATTTTAAATTAACAATAAATTTTTGTTTCATGTTTATAATTTTGACTCTAATTTTTACTGTTAGTTAAAAGATAATTTTTCAATCAATATTAAACTTTAAAAGCCGAGAAATTGACTTTTGGTTCTGGAGAGGGGGGGGGGGAGAGAGCAGCTTTTTCTTAAAATATTTTGACATATATATTTAAACATTCGAAAAATTCTTCAGAAAATGGAAAAAGTATCAAATAAGGAGAAAAAAATGGGCTAATAAGAGCCAAAGAACTATATTCCGTGTGGAAATAAGTCCAGAAATATATTTAAAACGTTATTAATAAAATATTAATTAATTATAAGAAAATTGGTACGTTTCATCTTCAATTCATCGTTAATTTTTTGAGATATAATTTTATTTTTTATTTTGTTGACGTAGTACTTAACTAATATCATACTCATTGAAGACGGCCCGAGTTAAATCCGAAACGTACATACATTTTTTTGTGATGTTTTAAATATTTTTTCACTTGTTTAGGACCAATACAGCAATTTGGCTCTTATTAGCTATTATTTTTTTCTTAGATTTTTTTACTCCAAAATAATTTTTTTAATTGAAAATTTAGAATAATTTGATGTAAAAATATTAATATAAATATTAATTTCTTAAATATTAAATAACTATTATAGTCAAACTTTTTGTTTTGAGCACTCTTCATCATATCGCATTTCAAATGCATAAATGGAAAGTGTGTATAATTAAAACGATATTTCCATTTTTTATATTTTTCATGTACTATGCAAAGTATATCATAATTTGTGCACGAATTACATAGCGCTATTTCGAATGAAAAATGAGCCGAAAAGTTTCTAAATTTTTTTGCGATGCTTAACGAAACAGAAATAATTAAATAAAGATTACCCAATTAGTGCCGTTTTTTAGATGGACATATGTCCGTGAATCATGCATTGAGTAGACGACATTGCATTATGCGTGATTACATTTAACCTGGCGTGCGGTTCACGAATATATGCCTGTCTACAAACGATGCCGATTATCTTTGTTTAATAATTCCTCTTTGTTAAGGATCGCAGAAAAAATATTTTAAAACTTTTCTATATATTTTTCATTCAGGAATAACGCTACATAATTTGTAGCCGCCGATTATGATATACCCTGTATATTAAAATATAGTACAAATTGTGTATGTGTGTGAGGTAAAAGGCTAAAAATAGGAATTTATTTTGTTCTAGTATATTAAGAATACAGACATTTCTCTCTCTCACACTACTAAAAATAAATATAACTAATTATTGAATAAGTAGTCTAATTACATTAGATGCGTGCTTATTATATAGAAAATTTTAAATTCATTCTATATGGATATATATACAGGGTGGCTCATTTTAAATAACCGATTTTTATTTCGCCAAAGATGTTGATTTTTTAATAAAAAAATTTTAAATATACATACATACATATATGTATGTATACCTATATTCCTACTTGAAATTTCAAAACTGACCCCAGTTACATCTATTTCCGATTTGTGCCGAAAAATCACCAATGATTACTTTGAATGCCCAGTAATGAAAATTTTTTCCTACCTTCCTGTAACGTCACATTTTTTAGAAAAACGGCTGGCACGGGTGGTCTGAATCACCCGATATATACAGGGTAAACAATATAAAGCGTGACAAATTTTTATCTTCAAAAATATTGTTTCTAGAGAAAATTGTTTTAAACAAAAGTTGCAGTATCTTCAGGAGAACATAAATTGTTATAGAAATGTTTATAGGTCGTGGTTTTTAAAATCATTTTAAGGGTAACTTAATTTTTTTTTAATGGAAATTAGTATTTTTTTATACTAGAACCTGAAAGACCATTTAATTTTGCATAAAAAACCTCTCTTGAAAATTTTCTCTGAAACCAATAGTTTAGAAGATATCCGTGTGTTTTGTAATCGAACTGAACAAAACTCGAAAGTGCTAATCAGATAAAATCCTAACTTATCTAAACTAACTTAACTGCTTACCTGCTTACCTTACCTAAACTTGAGAGTGTCAATCAAGCGATTGTCTTACATGCATATGCTTATGTGCATGTATTCCCTCTTAGTCGAATCCAAGACCACAAGTAAAGACTTGGAGGAACGACAGTCCCGTGTGCGTGCGCGCATTTGTGTCAGCAGAGATAAGGACTGCACAAATCGTCACTCCCGTAGTATTTAATGACTTCAAATCCTCTCTGTTGTGTGTGTTCGTCTTTTAAAACAAAACATTAATTATTTTAATAAAATTTAAAAAATATGTAACTGCTTAGTGCAAATTCATATTTTTTCTTAAAAACAAGTATGTGTTTTCCTTACATCAATTGATTTCTCTCATTGTTTTGTGCATAAAACTATTGAGGTAAGATAATCAAAAAGTGAACATTTTACGAGATATATAATAGGGAGAGAGAGTTTTTATATAAAATTATGTCACATTAAAGTATAAAATAACTCGTAACCTATTAAATTTTTGACTATACTACCCTTATAACTTTTTACGCCGAACATTGCGAAGAATTGATTTATGTAAATAAATTAGGGTGATTTCATTTAAACAAATGAAGATGACCTTGAAATAACCTTATGACCTTCATCCACGACCAAACCGATAGTACCATCTTATGTCCCCCTCGAAGTAACAAAACTTTTGTATGAAACATTTTTTTGCAAAAGATGTGGAAAAAAGATATATTTAGTTAGGGACATTTAAATGATTCACCCTGTATATATACAGGGTATCCTACTTAAAAAGTGACATTCAAATATGTCCAAGTGACGGTGTTTTAGAAAAAATGTATCAAGCAAAAGTTGTAGGGTTTTGAAGGGGACATAATATCGTGATCTAGAATTGCCCTTGAATGATTAGGTTAGGTTGCGCAATTGTATCGTGCGTCATTGAAGGTCTCTCCATATATACACACTATTCATTTCTTTTTCATGACATATTTTCTTAAATAATAAGTTTAGACCAAAAGTGTCCTAGTACTTTTTTATGTAAAATTGAAGGCTTTTTCCGATTTTGCAAGAAAATATACCCCATTCTATTCAAAAAAATTAAGTTGATCTTTAAATGACCTTGAAAAACATCAAGGGCAATTCTAGGTCACGATATTATGTCTCTCTCGAAACCCTACAACTTTTGCCTGATACATTTTTTTCAAAAATCATTTGGAGATATTTGACTGTCGTTTTTAAAATGGAACACTCTGTATATATATACCCAGTCAGCCACGTCTGTTCTAACAGATTGCCAAGTGCTTGCTACAAATTATTGTCAGCAAAAAGGCTACAAATTTGGTGCAAGAGTTGTTATTACCGATTAAGCTGGCAGATTGCCGGCAAGAACCAAGCAAAGCTTGCTAACATAACTAGACAGCAAATTGGCGGCAGAAACCGAGCAAAGCTTGCTGACATGACTGACATCAAATTGTCAGCAAAAACTGAGCAAGATCTGGAGCGTGCAATCTGATGGCAAATTTGCAGCAAAAACCGAACAGAATCTGCAGCTTATTAAAAAGTATTATAAAATAGTTCAGTCGCTTATCGCTATGCGGCGCGTTATTCATTATCTATACCCGTATTCAAATTCTTGTCATGAGTGTATATAAAGCCTACAAAATGCTAATAATTTTATAATATATATATTTCTATCAGTTCAATTTTTGACACAATTCTTATACAAGAAATTCAGATATTGAACTGATTTTTGGCAAATCGGACAGATAATTGTTCGATTTTCACTTATTCAAACAATTTCTGTCCAAAAAGATCTTTAATTTTGTAAATTAAATTATTTAAATTTACTTATACGTTTTAAAACATTAATATATGATTTTATATAACAATACTGTAATTTGTATATTGTGTTTCTTATTTTTGCCATCAAAAGAACGTCAAAAAATGGTCTCCCGTAGATGTGATATATTTTGGGTCTTATGAGACCTAACTTAGAATGTCTAATTATCTAATGGTCATTTTATGACCAAAACTTATCATCATTTTATTACTTAGGGTTATATAAAATTAATTATTATGCATTTTAATAAATGTAAAAATTAATATTTTTAGGGGATGAAGTGATTTATTTGGATCCTCATACTACACAAAAATCAGGTAGTATTGAAGACAAGATGAATGAAGAAGAAATTGAAATGGATACTACATATCACTGTAAATCAGCTAGTCGTATTCCTATTACAAGCATGGATCCTTCTGTGGCGCTTGTTAGTATATTTTGTTTATTTTTATCTTTTATTAAAGTCGATAAAAAATATTTAAAGTTATGGGTACTAATAATATAACATACAGTCATCAATATACTATAAACAAAAAAATATTTGGACGGAGTATTATCGCAAAAAGATCTGAAAAGAGATGTATTTCGGCTAAACTCGCGCGTTTTAGATCATGCGTTTTAGATATATTTTGGTTTTATGTCAGTGTACATATAGAGACAAGAGCCTTAATACACGAATTCAGGAATTTGTTAATAGACGGAGAAACATAGATATTTTTTTTTGCCTTTCGGCTTTAAAAGGGGAAAATTTTTTAGTGGAAACACTTTATAGTGCTTACCGTATAATATTGTTGTACTTATAAAATTTATATATTACATAACAATTTCTCTTAGCCTAAATAATCTTTATATAATAACTTGACTTGATAGTTAATAATTGTATCATTTTTAAGTTATCTTTAAACATTTTATTTTGATTCCTCCCTAAGTCTATCTACTAGATTTTCTTTGGTCTTATACTCTTTTCTTATTCTTACAATTTTTTTGATTCAGCTGATTCTGTCTTCTTTCTTTCCCAAAACTTGATTCATTCTTGTACTATCCTAGCAAACATATTATAACAGTTATAACATTAGAATATAAACTTAAAATAACAGCTGTTATATATTTTTTATAAAACTGTTATATATCATCTGTTTACTGTTGTTATATAATATATGTTAAAATAATCGTACTCATGTAATATAATATTTATATAACTTAAAATTATATTATTTTAACTTAATATTATATTATTTTATTGATACATTAAGAACATAACTCTAATAAAATTAATATATAACATAAAAATAGTATTTTGCCGTTAGTTCGTTTGTTTATCGCTATGCGACGCGCGATGCGTCTAGCGAGTTTTAGTCATGACAATTATATAAAGCTTGCAAAGAGCAACTGGCAGGAGATTAAAAATATAATTATTTCAATCGGTTTAATTTCTGATGTAATCCCAACATAGGGAATTCAGATTTTGGACTGATTGTTTAAAAATTGAGCAGATAAATGTCCGAAAAAGTTAAAATCATCTGTTTATTGTCTATTTAAGATGTAAAATAGAGTTCTAATATTCATATAAATAAAATTTTGTATTTTATGAATTAAATTATTTAAATTAAATTATTTTATTATTTATTTAATTATGTTACTAAGTGTTTTTGTCATATAATGTATATATAAAGTAATATTTGTAATTGCACTTTAGAAAACATATATGTTAAAATGAAAAACATCTGTATATACTATATTATTATAAATACGCATCTATGTAATGTTTCTACATCTTTTTGTGCTGTATGCATGCATGTATATTCAAAAACATTTAAAAATTATGATGTAACATTCATATAACAAAACTATATAAAAATGTTGCTGCAATGTTGTTACAATCTTGCGGTGCTGTATGGGATACGTTATTTGTTTTAAAAAAGGTGGCAATCCTAATCACGTCTTGCAGTGTTTTCTCTCTCGATCATATGACTTGCAATAAGGATGCAATATCGGAATGCCCTCCACTTTTTTCTCCTTCGGTGCTTGATCTTCTTCGCTCTTCAAGTGATACATATACATACATACGCGATCCGTGTGTATGCATGATACTTTCGGTTGTCATATACGTATACACCTAACCGCCGAGGGACACCATTCCTGCCCTTGAGTGTACACACACACACATATATAACATAAAAACAGTATTCAGTTGCTAGTTCATTTGTTTATCGCTATGCGACGTGCGATGCGTCCATCTCGCATTTAAGGCCGGTAATCATAGTCCGTTCTTATATTTAAGATTGTCTTAGGGCGGTATTCATAGTCAATTCTTATTTCAAGACTGTCTTAAGTAATGTCCTAAGATGCTAATATGGCTCTGTGATTGGTTTAGGACATCTTAAGATCGTGCTTAAGACGGTCTTAAATATAAAAACTGACTATGAATACCGGCCTTAATAGCGTTTTCGAATGAACGGATTAATCCAACTCGGATCAATTAATCACTATATTTTACTATGAATTCAAGTCTTTTATTGGCAGAGACGCTACAATGACGTCATTAATCGCTCTCAGAGCGATTAAACCTGTTACATTCAAAAACGCCATAAGTGTGGTCTTGGGTCGTCTTAAGATTCCATTCAACCAATGAAATGGCCGCACAGCATCTTAAGACCATACTTGAGATGATTTTAAATATAAGAACGGACTATGAATACCGGCCTAAGTTTTAGTCATGAGAATTATATAAAACTTGCAAAGAGCAATTGATAAGAGATTAAAGCCTAATACCACTTTGAAACTTTGAAAAAATCGAAATTTCTTTTTTTTGGCTTAAATGGCAATTTATAGTCATAAAAATAAGGTGCACTTGATTGAAATACAAAATTCGAATTTTTTATGACTGTACAGATGCTTACAATCGGCGCCGCATATCACTATGTAAAACTTTAAACGCGTTTTTTTTCAAAATGACTTTTTTGAAATTGGCGTGCAGTATAACTTCCACAATTTTTATCCGATTGATTTGAAATTTTGAGAGAATCTTTGTAAATCAATTATCCAAAGAAATATATATGTAAAGATTTTGCAAAATAACAAAAATTGTTTTTTTACGGCTATTTTTATAGCAAATTATTTTGACGAAAAATGACACTTCTTTTTTAAACGTTCACCATTTTCATAAAAATTGAAATTTTGTAAAACCCCTACATATTTCTTTAGTAAATATCATATAGAAAATAAAAATTTTTGGTTTTTTGTTCTAGGTTAAACTGTGACGGAGAAATTTTGCACGCCGATTTGACCCTCGCCAAAAAATCGTCTCCGAAGATCCGCCATAACGACGTCTTTTTATTCAAAAAATATAAATAAAAATTCATTTTATGTATTTTAAAATATGTAGAATAAATACCTTTTTACAGATTTTTAATTGCTATTACCGTTTTCTAAAAAAAATTCTCAAAAATAGACCTTTTTTTTGTGGTTCAAAGTGGTGTTAGGCCTTAAAAATGTAATTATTTTGATCAATTCAATTTCTGATGCAATCCCAACATAGAGAATTCAGATATTGGACTGATTGTTTGGAAATCGGGCAGATAAATATCCAAAAAAGTTAAAATCATTCGTTTATTGTCTACTTAAGATGTAAAATACAATTCTAATAATATTCATATAAATAAAATTTTGCATTCTACGAATTAAATTATTTAAATTAAATTATTTTATTATTTATTTAATTATGTTACTAAGTGTTTTTGTCATATAATGTATATATAAAGTAATATTTGTAATTGCACTTTAGAAAACATATATGTTAAAATGAAAAACATCTGTATATACTATATTATTATAAATACGCATCTATGTAATGTTTCTACATCTTTTTGTGCTGTATGCATGCATGTATATTCAAAAACATTTAAAAATTATGATGTAACATTCATATAACAAAACTATATAAATATCAAAACAGTAGCAATAACATGTTATATCTTAATTATATTACAGATATGTTCTTAATGTATCAATAATATTACATTATATAATTGTTACATTTAAATGTATAACTGCTATATAACATTGTTGCTTCCTTGAAAGGGAAATTACAAGTAACGAGTGTATTACATGTTACAATCCTGTAATATTACTTGTTATATTTTATTACATTGAGTTATGTAACCGTTATAACATAGTTATAAAAGTGTGTTTGCTAGGATTTCCATGATACAATTTGTTGTTATATGTTCTAACGTTTTGACTTCCCTGTGATATATCTTACACATATTCTTTTCTTATTCACGCCAAAATTTATCACGGAGTTCTTCATTCCTACATCTAAATCTCGCAATAATTTTTTTAAAATCTTTATGATCTTGCTTTCTTAAGTATTCTGTAGTTTCTATCGTATATAATTCCTTATATTTTATATCATATTTAGAATTCTGAATCTTATTCTGTTGTATCTGTTTTATCTATATATCTTTCGGATAACTTATGTACTACCTTCACCTTCTTCTTTTAATCTTTTAAGAGATTATATATATCTTTGACAGGCCTAAAATTAAGACGAAATTAACGAATTTTTATTGTGGGTAAAATTATTGTTTTTTTTTTTTTTTTAAAGGAAAATACATGTCTTGCAGAGTAGTCTTTTGAGAAGATCTTCCCAGAATTTTAATAAAAAATATAAAAAATGGAGATCTTGGCAGCTATTTTCCCGAACGGTGTTTAAAAATGTACCAGAGATACCTCCGCCCTCTCTCATCTGAAACAAAAAACAAAAATTTTCCGTTAAACTAGATCAGGCCTGTCTAACTGCCAAGAGCGGAGGAGCCACCGATCTTATTCTTAGGGCCGTGGCACATAAAAAAAAAAACGTAAGCAATAAGACTTAAGATATAATGAAAGCGACCAATTACAGTCGAGAACGTAAGCAGCCATATTGAAACATAAGCAACGCTGAAAATTCCGTATGGATGAAATTCTTGAATCTTAAGTTTTATTGCTTAAGTTTTTCTATGTGCCACTGGCCTTACCGCTTTAGACTTACACCATCGCGTTTTTCTGCAACCCACACTCTCGACGCGCAGCGTCGACAAGCGAAGACCAAGCGTCGACGGCTTAGTCGGCTGAAACAGTGGGGGAAACTAAGCCCTAGCTCAGAGATCGGGGAAAGAGCCACTCGTGGCTCACGAGCCGCGGGTTAGATAGGCCTAAACTAGATGAAGAAAATTAGTACTTGTCATAGGCGATTTTGAAAAAATTGATTTTTCGAAGAATGACATCGATTCCCAAGCAAAACAGAAAATCATAATAATATCAAAATGACATCATAATGACTATCAAAAATCATTATGATGTCATTTCGATGTCATTTTGATGTCATCTTGATGTCATTTGATATTATTGTGATTTTCTGTTCTACTTGGGTTCGTAGTGAAAAATGCGATTTTCGACCTAAAGATCGGTCTTTTTTTATTTATAAAAAAAAACTAAGCCATAAATCGAAAAAATCCTATGACAAATACTAGATTATTGTATTGAGAGTAGCTGTAAAAAATTTCATGCAAATCGGTTCATTAATCTCCGAGATATTTCTGGTAGCGGTTTTCAAAACATTGTTGTGAAAAAAAACGCGTTTAAAGTTTTACGTGACACTAACAGGTACATGCTGTGAATAAATTGTTGAATGAAATTATTTTTTACCATACGCAACATCGATGCCTGGATTATAGAATACTCCTTTCTTTGACGTAGAAGCCTCTTTATTACCCTTTTTTTGCTCTTTGTGCTTCGTCTGCTCGTCCTTCATCGAACTCTGCGTCGCGTGCTTGGCAAGACACTCAGGTGCCGGCTTTCTTTTTTAGCGATCTACCGATGAGCATTGAACCTTGTGTCGATTTGTATTGTTTGCATTATTTTTGATAAAGTCACAGACCTTTCATTAAATAAGCAGGCAGCGATGTTGACTGCAATTTCGACTATACTTAGACCGGAGTGGACTTTTTTTGACGATATCTTTTAGATCAAATTATTGAGACTCTCATTATTGTTCTGGGTATATCCTCTGACAAAAGGTTCCAATAAAGTGTCTGTGTTGAGATCTTCATAAATATGCCTGATTACATCTAGAACTTCCGGTGGAAGCGATTTATAATCATGTTTGTACTCAGCCAACTTGCCCTCTGCCTTCGCTTTCTGCTACGAACACCAAGAGTCAGATCCTGGAAGATACTTCTCATGTTGTAGTTGCTCATTATCTGAGAGATAGTAGTAGAACGTGGCACAGATTGCATCTCTTATCTTTTCTACACAGTCACAATTTCTGCGGATCGCTAATCCATAATAGATGCTCAATTTATCTATCATTTCTCCAGTGAACTTATTCCTTCTATGCCTTTATTCTTTTTTTACGCATTGACGAAGTCATGTTTCCATCCGTTTTTGTACGTATCCAATGCATTCTTTTTTATTTATTTGTACTGCATCTCCATACGGTTTAGCGTCAACCACTTCTTTATATGTCTTCGAATTACCATCTTCTATATAATTGATATATCTGAATCCGTAACGCTCCTCAGATCATAAAAACATTTCCTTTATAGCATCTATCTCCATCTTTCTAGCGAATTCTTTGTCATTCGATGAGCAATCAATTTTATGTTCTGCTTTCCACTCTTCATATTCAGCTGGGCCTATTCTCGATTCTTAATACTCACATGATTTATAAGGCGCACATTTCACTAAAATATCGCCGATTTTTTCTGTGAACCATCCGATCAACGTCGATGCTCCAAGTAATGAAATGAAGCTACATTTTTTCCACGTGCCATCACCAGAAACTGTCAACTCTATGTCATCCAATCCAGAATTCCTTATAGCTTCCCTTCCTTACTCAATAACTGTTTTAAATAAAATTTCAGACACCGTGGAAGTAGTCCAATGAATACTTTTTACAATGGCATATATATATGCGCAGTGAGAAGGGACAGCCCATTATTGATATGTGTTCGCTAGGACGTGAGAATCCAGCGTTATGTATCGCTCGTGCGTAACTGTTGTCATTTATAGAGCGCTCTTCTCAAAGCTTCGTCACGCCTAGCGACCGCGTAACTTTTAGGCGCATTTTTTCTCACCGCACGCTTATACTCGCGCGAATTGGCAGATCTTTTTTAACTAATTTCTCAATAATTATTACGAGACTCGCAAAATGCTAAAGGACTTTTCTCTTCGGTTTCACCTATTCTACCTGCATACGAGAGGTGATACGGTTATTCCCGGACACCCTGTATATACATATATGTATATATACAGGGTGTCCTAGACCACCCGTACACCCCTTTTGAGTTATTTTATATCTTAATCTGACATATTTTGATATAAAAAATCAAATATCTCGTAAAATATTTGGTTCTCGATAATCTTACCGTAATACTTGTATGTGCAGAATAATGAGACAAATCAATTAGTAAAAAAAAATAAGTGTTTTTAAGAAAAAGTATGTAATTATTTATAATGTATTTTTTTAAACAATTATTTGTTTTTTTCTTTATACTAATCTTGAATATTATGCTTTACACTAATACTTTACACTAATACTTGAAAATTTAGAAAGAATATGTTAGATATTTATATTTTTATTACATTTTAAATACAATTAAACAAATGTTACAATGATATTTTGAAAATTATATTTATATTATTATTAATAATTAATCTGTCTTATATTTCAGTGCTTCTTCTGCACTACAGAAAAGGAATTTAAATCTTTATGTAAATCAATGCAAGAAGAATTAATTTTACCCGAAAAGCAACCATTGTTTGAGCTCTGCAAAGAACGTTTGGCACATTGGTCACCAACAGATGATGTTGCTTCTGAGGCAATAGCAGCTTCTAGTCGTACGTATTTAATTACTATTACAAATAACAATTTATATGTTTCGATATAATTTGAATTTTGTATTAATTTGATATGAAAAAATATGTGTGGATGTATGAACGTACGCATGTGTGTGCGTGTGCGAATGCATATATTATATGTACGTATGTATGTATGTATGTGTTTTAACTCTCGCCGAACAGTGCCGGGGTCTTTTCTGACCTCGAAAAGAACTGTTTAATATTTGATTTTTGCGATGCGCGTCACTTGTTTTTATTAGAAATGAGCGCTACATACGCGCAAGCGTTGCGAAAACATGTGTGTTCAATGTTATATTGAAAAAAAGAGATATTTTTGTTATGGGCGTTAAAGGAAGCACTCATAGTTACACTGAAGTATTTATTTGTTTATACAAAACTCTTTTTGATATTAATTACATTCCATATGTGATACGAGAGGGTAGTGCTCGGCGTCCTGAGAAAAAGAGGAATGTGCAAAAAAAAACGCACGCATGGATCTACTGCTTCCCTCTATGCGCGGCGCTAGAAGCACTGTCACAGCTATGTGATAGAAGCTTGAAAAATCAAATCTTCAACACTCCCACCTTTCGAAAGCATTTATGTGCTCCATGCATTCCAAAGTTCGCTCTTAGATTTTGGAATACATTTCGATTTAAAGCCTGTAGTCAAAATATTAGCAATTTGTTTTTGACTGCATACGTATTCGATATCAATTGATGTCTTCATTTGTATATTTTTCTCGCACAAAATGGTAGCAAATATCAATATATATGCTTTTTTGTAAAATTTAGGGTTACGAATAAGTTAAATTGCACTTTGGTTGTCTATCTTGATGACGATTGGCTTGTTATATTAATAATAGTTATTACGTAACAACCTCAACTACAAAGCTTCTTTTACTGCCTCGCAGACAGCGATGTACTCAGTCGTGCTAAGTGACACTGTTCTCTGTCGAAGAGAATCCCAGGTTATTGCGTCATTAGCTGAAGTGAATAAATAACCCGTTATGGAGCGCCTGGTATCTAGATCACCAACATAGTCTGATTCTGAAAAATTATACAAATATTTATTTTCACACATTCCATCATACAAGATTCCTACATTGATTATTCCTTTTAGGTAACGAAACACATTCTTTACAACACAGTATTGCCTGTTGAAGCATGTTATGAATCTGCTTAAGTAATTCACAAAATATATTATATCTGGGCGTAAGAATGGAAAGGAACATTAAACTGCCTATAACTTGTCGATACGACATATTATTCGTATCCACAATACACTCAGTCGCTGAAGATAAACATGTGCGTAAGTTCGCAGGAATATCTTTAATTCTCGATTCGATCATGTTAAATTTCTGAAAGATACGTTTTACGTACGATTCCTAATAAATCAAAATTGATTTTGCCTTTATATCACGAACGATTTCTATACCTACGTAATTTTTTACATCATTTATCTAGTAATCCTAAAACTTGACCTAAATTCTTTCAAAACTACATCAAACGCCTTCTGTGATGATGTCAGAATTAGGCCATTATCTAGGTTATTAAATGGATTTTGTTAGATTCAAAATTGCCCGTATAAACACATGCTTCTGCTTTGTTCGGCACAAAACCCTTTAAAAACGAATCGAACAATACCACGTTCGTGATGCCTGTTTCAATCCATACAGTGACTTTTGCAATTTACAAACCTTGTTTTTATATGTATTACCTCATCTGATACTTCCATGTAGATCTTTTCTTGTTAAGAAAAGCTATTTTTACATCAAATTGTCCATTCTTCATGTCTTGCTGTGTAGCAAGTATCAGCATTGCCCGTATTGAATCGCTACAAATGAAGAAAATCTCCTGATAGTCAACATCTCGCTTCTGATGAGTAAAGCATTTCTCACACAGACGAGCTTTATATTGATGGACATTTTTATGTGGACTATATATATTTCTTCTTGAAAACCCGTTTGAATCTGATGGGCTTTTTCTCTTCAGGAAGATTTTTTAGATTGAGATTCTTGTAGATTCAGATACCATCGAGCTCGTGAGCTTTTAGCTCTTCATCGATTGCTCTCTTGCAACTGCCGGCATCCTTGGAAGACATTACTTTTGTATACGAAGATTCATCAAATTTAACTATATTTGTTTCATAGCGAATTGGTGGCTTAATCGTATTTCTGTCTCCTAAGGTCCTGACTTTGTCCTGAACTGATTGCTGATCTCGTTGAAAACTGTTATTTCTATTGTGTCCATTCTTGTTCTCATGCTCATTACGATTAGATGTGGTGATCATGACCATTCTGCTTCTGCACCCAAGAGCTCAACTTCACTGTAACTTTTCCGTTTCGGTTATTGAGACGGTGATCTGTCTCATGAATGATGGCGTTTTTTGATATGATAATTTTTCCAATTTGTGAATTATACAGATTATATAATCTGTAGTTGTAGAAATCAGCTTGATAGCCAACCATAAGTAATTTTTGGGTTTTTTTTCGGCCCACCTCTCTTCCTCAGTTGCTCGAGAATATAAGCAAACGCTTCTGATCCGAACTTTGATGTGATCGAGATACGGCTTCTTGTTCGTCCAGGCTTCATAAGTATCATGCTTTATTGCTCGGTGTCCGATTCAGGCTGTATTTACTAATAATATATGATTTTACTACCTTTAAAATGGAACTTTATGATAATAGATGTTAATTGAAAAAAATTAGATGAAATCAAAATCTTTTTTTAATGTAAAGAAATTAAATATTAGAAGAGTTATTTAGACAAAAGGAGATTTATTATATAAATGTAATTCTCTGTGCAGTTGTGGACTTTGAACATGTTGAACGTCAATATGACACGTCTGATGAAGACTTTGAACTGCTTGGTTGACGTCCATCTAAACTACCTAATATTGCAACAAAATGTGAGATAACAGTTGATTATTATATGTAGTATAACGATAGTATTTTTAAAGTCAATTTGTATTTTCGACTACCGTGATGCGAAATTTCATACACGCGCGCGCGCATGCGAGTGTGTGTACATAGTATTCTAAACTTATTGCATTATCCGCTAATAACAAATTCTTGAAATCATTTTGGAGACAAAAATCTTATAGCGAATTCGATTATTTGCACTACATCACACTAGTGCATATTAAAGGCTGTTATTTATCAAGTATAAATCTGAATGCAATGATATAATATATATAAACACTTTGATGATGAAATAATAATGTATGTTCTGTTAAATATATAAAATGACAATTTATTATGATTGGATTTTAATTACTTAAAATATTTATATTATTCTTTTTTATTTAGATAACTTCACATGTGTAGCAGTCTTTAATATGCACTAATGCGTTGTAGTGCGGGTGACCAAATTTGCTATTGTCCTAGTTTACATCGATATACTTTAATACGTACTAAATATTATACTGTCCAATCACAGCTGTTCCATTCTTTAAAGGAATGACTATGATTGGCCAATGTAGTACTTAGTACATATTAAAGTATATTGTTGTAAACTAGACCATTAATACAAAAATATCAAAGCTATAATACATGATAAAGCAGATGATATGGTTTTAATAGCAAAAGAAGAAGATAGGATGAGAGCAATAATGGAAAGATTAGAAAAATACATACAGAAAAAATATTAAAATTAATGCGGAGAAGATATAGAGATGGTGATATTTAAAAAGAGGGGTGAGAAAAAAAAGAGTAATCTGAAATTGGAAGGGAAGAAAGATAGAGGAAGTGAGATCAATGAGATATCTTGAATATATATGTTATGATCAAACAAAAAGCAAAACGAACATATAAGAAACAAACTAAGAAAGGAAATGGCGGGATAGGTATGGGGCATAGGAAAAAGAACGCTTGTGTGTGTGTGCGTGCGTGTGCGTGTGTGTGTGAAGAAAAAGAAAAGGAATAGAAAGGATAGAAGAAAAGTATATAAGATAGATTTTGGAGAATGTCAAGGTATATGAAAAGGAAAGAAATATATATAGAGATAAGTTGCGAAATAGAGCAGCAAAGAAGAAATTTGATGGAATTAGAATTTTGAAAAGAGATTAGAAGGAGAAGGTAGGAAATTAGCAAGAGCTAGAAAATTTGAAAAAAGATATAAAAAAGACTAGACTGTAGTATAAGTATACTCTGGATGAGATAAAATAAAATATAAAAAGGAAAATGCAGCAGAAGGAGAAATAGAGAAAAATTGGCAAATCGAAATATAATAGATGGCATGGGAGGATAAAGAGAATACTGGAGATGGAGGAGACATGCAATCTAAAGATTAGAAAATGAGATGAGGAAAGATGGTTCTGAGAAGAAGAGAAAAAAAGAAAATGTAAAGTATGTGGAGAGAAAGGAAAGAGAAATATATGGCAGCATATGTGGGAAAGAAACACAGAATGGAGGAAGAAAGGGAATGGTAAGAATTTTAGCAGAAATGTTGGTAGAAAATGATAAGAAATGGATAAAAACGATTCAAAGAAAAGAAGTGAAAAAAAGATAGAGAAAAAATAGAGAATAGATGTAGTAGGAAAGAAAGGAGTAATAAGAAGAAAGTGGGGAAGGGGAGAGAGAGGGAGAGGAAGAGAGATAAGTTGAAAGCGGTGGTCCAAATGGGGAGAGGACGGTTACATTAGATTAACAAAGTTAAATAAGTAAACAATTACAGTAGAGCCTCTCGATAAGTTGGATCTTCATTACTTTGATTTCCTCTATAGACGTACTTTCATCAACACTATAATATCGTGCCATCTTCATAACATATGGGCACATCACGTGCGTGACGGCGCGCACAGCAGCATTAACCACACGATCAAGTGAACATTATTGGCTAACTTTGATCGCTTATAACTCAAAAACTATTCCAGCTTCAAAATTTTTGTATTAGAATTTTTGATTCTGTTTTATCTCTGGAATATGCTATTAAAATATTGTACGGACATTGTGAAACACCCTGTATATACATATCACATAAAGACCGCTCACTAAGTATATAGCGTTATTCCTTACCAAAAAATGAGTCGAAAAATCCTGGACCATTTTTTTTCTATAACACTTAATAAAGAAGTAATTATGGAGTAAAGTCTGGCAAATCGGCGCGAAGACATAGCACTGCCGCGCTGCCGGCGCCGTAGTAGCGGAACGCTTATGCACACTACTAGGCGCGCAGCTCATTGACGGCTAAAGATCGGCACTGATTGGCCCAACTTTATTCAATAATTACTCCTTTATTAAATGTTATAGAAAAAAATAGTGCAGGATTTTTCGACTCATTTTTTGATCAGGAATAATGCTATGTATTTATTGTTATTGGGCGGCCTTTACGTGACACTCTGTATATGTTGATTGTTTAAGAGCATTTTTACTGTGCGATATACAGTGCCTTTTATAAAAACGCGAATATTGAACAATTTGATTGGGCAGTTTAAAATAACTTAAAATGGTTTCTTATTTAAGTTTTATTATTGCCATAAATAATGTATACATAGCTATTGCTTTGATATCTGGCATTACATTTTTTGTCTCCAAATGAGAAATCTGTCATTAGCAGGTGATATGGTAAATCTGGGACATTCTGCATGTGTGTATATATATAAGTTATTTATATTTAAAAATATTGTATATATACATTTAATACTTAGGTTTATTCTTACGATATTGTAAGCATCAAAAATTGCATACATTTACAAAGATATTTGTGATGCTGTGGTATAGCATTGATTATTTATCATTTTCACATATAATTGAGCATGTGTAATTATTTCTAAAATAAAAATACATTAATTTAAAATAAATTAAAAATAATTTAAAAATACTTTAATATTTCTGAATATAAAAAGTTAACAACTTAAAAAAATTTAACAATTAAAGAGATTTTAAAAACTATAAATATAAGATAAAATTCTAGAAATTAGAGAATATTTAAAAAAATTGAAATCTGGAAAATAAAAAACACAAGAAGACCAAAGATTATTAAATTTAACGATCTTGAACGATTATCAATAATATTTTCTTTGAAATGTTACTCAACATTAAGATTTAAAAGATAAGTATGTATTTTTTAATACAGAATTCATTTTTAAAAGAACCTCTTTAAATACAAAATACATTTATAATTTAAAAGTATTTTAGATAAACAACTTATTTTTTATCTTAAAATCTTTAGTTAAAATGATATAATAATTATCTCTGATAATCATGATTACATTAAATGTGTGACAGCTGAAAGAAATGCTTTCAATGAAGTACATGCTATATTAGAATAATCTTTAAATTAATGCATTGTTGCTTTTTCTCAAATATCCTTATAATGAGCCTTAATTAAGTTTTATTTTAATAAATACCATTTAAATATGCCAAATAAATTATATTTAAAGTAGAATACATATTGGGAAAATACACATTTTAATAACATATGTGTAAGTCAGTTATTATCACAGACTTCTATAAAACTCTGTGATTATTATTAATTTCATAATTGACGAAATAGGAGAAAAAGAAGACAAAAGAGAGCAACATATTTATTTCCTATACATATTTATGACGTTTATTTTATGTTACGGTTTTTTTCTTACATTTTTTCTTGTTTTTATAAATTTGTATAACAATTATATGATTTATTATTAATTTTTATAAGGAGTATGCAAATACCGCAGCAAATACACAAAATAATTTAATTAATAAAAGCGAAATTTTGTATTAAGTTTTTACATAAATATATGTATGCGCAATGAATTTATAATAAAAACATATATAATATAATAATATATGGCTAGGGGGGGGAGGGCATGAAAGTTCATAAGAATTCATAGTATGGCTTTTCTAAACAAATGTTAAAATGTGTTAAGACAATCCGCATATATCTCTTTCACATATGTCATTACTTAATGCTAATAAAATTTCCTTTTTCATTATTAATGTTTAAAATAATTCATCTTTAGTTATATATAAGATGATACACTATGAAACTTCTCGAACTTTCATATCTTATATATGAATATACTCAATTCTTTTATAATTTTAATGAAATTAGATGACACACACGTGAACATTGAGAATCTATGCTTTGTTGTATATATTATATAAAACTTTTGTACAATAAGATTATTTTTTTATCTGTTTTTTATTTGATTATATTGATTATATTGATTATATAAAAAAAAATTGGAAATCAAATGTATTGATAATTGTAATCAAATAAAAATTATGTTCTTATCAATAATGGTACAAAAATTTATTTTTATATAAAAAATTTCGATGGATATCATTACTATACATAATGTTGCAGAACCCAAACTTGTGGGACAAACTTCAGCGGGTGGTAGATCTCATGGAAAAAATCAATTTTGTTAAGAAACTTGTATTCTCTCTTTCTTTGACGCGTCCTTTAAATAAAATTTAAAAAAAGCAAGAACATAAAATCAAAGGACGTAGACTAGTATTGTCAAACATCACGCACAATACTGTCGCGTTGTCTACTTCACAGGTGATCTGAACAGACACGCGTAGTTCTTCTTAAATGGCTTCTGGGATTGTCTGTTTTACCAACTAAAGCGATTATTTTTTTTCTGCACTAAAATTTTTTTATTAATTGTACAGAATAATAAATTCTTTTCCACGATTAGTAGTCGACAGAAGAGTGACGGGTAAACTCCGAATTGATATTGGAGACCCCGCGCGGTAATAATGAGGAAAGAATAACAGAAGTGAGCATATCGGTAGTGGGGGTAGACTTATCGCGAACGGTAGTACGTCATCGCAGCCATCTTGAGTGTCTACTTTTTTCGAAGACTTTTTTAATTGTAAAATCATGGTGCATTGCCAGACCTTTGACATACTTCTAGTATGTCTGTCATGCTGCAATTCGTTCCTGAGCGGCCATCTTGAGTGTCCATTTATATATAGTCACTTCCGTCCGCTCGCTTAACATCAAATGCTTACTCCTGTTATTCTTTACTCTTTGTTTAATTGGTAAGCCCTTGAGCCGTTTTTTGTGCCAAAACTGGTAAGATCGATTATATTTCAAAAATCGGTATAATCGTTTTTGAGGTTGCTGATTTCGAATCCGGAGTCGTAATTTTGATATCGCGCATCCCGCCTGAAATCAGACGTCCAAAAAGAACCTAATTTTTTGCAACATCTATTAGAATTCAGAAACTAGTCCAGTCGGCGGACTTGACACAAAATTAACACAAAATCTTAAAAAAAAAAACCTCAAAAAAAATAAAAATTTTTTTTAATTAAAAAGATACTATTAAAAAAAACGGAATGTAAAATTCCATCGTAGCCTCCACGTGGCATACTCTGGGGTCGTGATTTCTTGGTCATTAGCTAATAGCGATGGTATTTTTTTCGCTTCGTGCTGTACTTCGGCTTACCGTCTCGAAAACCGTTCAAAGAGAGCATTTTCGGGCGGCATATTAACTGAACGATGACGAATTTGTAATCCCTGAGCTCAGATTCCGATTCAGCGATCCAAAAAACTTTAAGATAGCAAGTTTTATCCAGATCCATCGAAATTTATCGGAGTTATTCAATGCGCATACCCAGTAAGCAAAATGCGCGCAATATGCCAGCAGATTGGCAACAGATTTCCTCAGCTCTTGCTAGCAATTTGGCATCTGTTATGTCCGCATTAGGCTAATGATCTGCCAGCAGAGCCTGCTCACAGAATCTCCAGCAGAAACCGAGCAAGATCTGCTAACACGATTTGACGTCAGATTGATGGCAGAAACCGAGCAGGATCTGCGCGCGCGCAAACTGACGGCAGATTGGTAGCAGAAACCGAGTAGAATCTGCAACTTTTAGCCATTCATATAAAATGGTGCATCTAAATGAATTTAAAGGATCTCAAACCCAAATGGCAAAATGACGGTGAATTTTGGGAAAATAATTCACGTTCTTTGATATTTGAGGCTTTCATGCTGTACATACAAATATATTAGGTTTGGCTTCCGGGTTTGAGCTGTTTAATATTTTCTAAACAATTCAATATCTGAATTTCCTATGTTGGGATTGCATCAGAAACTGAACTGATAGAAAATAATTACATTTTTAATTTTCTGCCCGTTGCTCTTTGCAAGCTTTATATAATTCTCATGACCAAATCTCAAATACGAGATGAACGCATCGCCCGCGCGTCGCATAGCGGTAAACAAACGAACTAGCGGCTGAATACTAATTTTTGTAAAATTTTTTGGAATGTTGCGCACAATAATATTTCTCATGAAATATTAAATAAATAATAATTTTGGATATATGAAAACATGCGCATCAAATTCAATTATTAATATTAAACGAAATTAATGTTAACAATTAATTGCCAGATAACACATG